CCGTAGGCTCTGGAGTAGTCGCGCGGCGCTGTCGACGTCAGCCGTTTGTAGAAGAAGGAGGAGAAGATATGGATGGAATCTGCAAGCTCGCTGTCTCGCTTTCGTATCTCTTCGTGTAGCACCTTGAGACCAAGCTCGATGATGGTGTCGTTGACTGCCAGCGCAATTGAGAGTACTGAGCCATAGTTGGAGAGACTCGCGTACCCAGACGAGCATTCGTTTCGAGCATAGACTCACGGAATTCGCCTTCTGCAAGCTTGGCAATGTCTTCATTGTACACGTCTACGGCACCGGGCCTGTCTTGAGGATAACGAAGCCGCTTCACCAACTCGCGAGGCTTTGCTGGCGTTTTCTCGTGCGCTTGCGAGTCCGCGTTCGACTCGGAACCAATACTGACTTCCATTGGACCATTGTCGGTGCTCACCTGAGGCAAACGAGAACCATCTGAAGAAGCCAAAGCGCTTTGGACGGCCGCGCTTTTTGCAGATGGTCGGGGTTTTGGTCGTGGCCGTTCCTGAGCTTTCTCACTAGGCAACGGCAAGCCGTCTTCAAGTTCCATGCGTGACAATCGTGTCTCAGCGGCGTCGCTATCTCTAGAACGCGCTTTTGCCTTCTCGGTGATGTGTCCGGCCTCATTCGATGGACGATGGGCTCGCAAAACAGGAGCAGAGCTCTGAGAGGCAGCCGCCCTGAAAGCTTCTGGTCTCAGCCACTCGATGTTGAGAGACGCCAGATCCTTGGCCTTCTTGAGCGAATCACCCAGTCTCTTGCGAGTGTCTGGATTCTTGTCTGCATCATGCACTGTAATGGCAACCTGTGGGGAAGCAGAGCGAATATCGTAGTCGAAATGCTTGGTGAAAGGGTGCTGTCTGTCCCTGATTTGAGGCCATAACACCAGTGCCCTGTCTTCCAGCGAAACTTGAACTTTCTCCAAGTGCGCTGGTTCCAGCGATATCGTGTGTGATGTGGACTTGTCGACGTGGGAGAGGTTGCGATGGGGAGAGTGCTGCCATTGCAGTTGTAGGGTGAAGCCGCTCGGTCCAAAGTGGAAGAGGAGCTTGGGCTTGTGTCGCTCGAGAATCAGTTTTTGGACATCGCCGATTTCGAGAAGCTCAAGATCGAACTCTGTCGTCTCTGACACTCTGGCTCTACCAAACGATTTGGGAGCAGGCATTCCTAATTCTTTCGCCGTCCTTTGGCGCGTTTCGCTGCGATCGACCGCTTTTTGCTCGACAGCGTCTTGTCTTGGCCTCATAAGCGAAGCTTTTGAGGCACGAGGTCGGCGATCGTTGTCTGTAGCGGAAAGAATGTCGAGGGGGTCGCTGCTGTCATCATGTGGAGCCGTGTCGGTGGACGGGCTCGATCGGCGAAAAGGTAC